GCCAGCCAGCCCTCCGCTCCGCCCGACGCCTGCGGCGGGGCCCTGGGTATCAAGGACAGGCAGGCGGAGCAGCGCGCGCTCAGTGCCCGCGTAGTCCAGGCGCGCAGACGCTGCAGCCCGCGCAGGGGCAAACCAGACGTTTATCTGCACGCGCGCTGCGCGGAGCTTGCCGGAGCCAGCCGTTAGGTCACGCACGTCACGCACTCCGCAGGGGATGGTGCTGCCATCAGCTCAGCGGCTGAGGGCGAAGCTGCCTTTCAAACTCGGATAAATGACTATAAAGTCATCCTATAACCCATAAAAGCAACCATTTTCTTTCTAGGGCTACCTGAAGGCTCTTTCAGCACCGTATTTCATCTTTTTGTGTATTCCCAGGTTGGTCACAAACCTGCGCCCGCGTGCTGGGGGATGACAGGATGCTGGTGTGTGACAGGGAAGCGCCCGCGGAGGCCGTTTCCTTCTCTGCCCACGTTCCCTTGCTCCTCGCACCGCTCAGCGCTCCACGCCCCGAGACGGACTCCGCGGGGCAGAGCGCTGACGTGGCTCCTGCGTCCCCACAACAGCACTGCCCCGGAGCAGCTCCAGCAGACGAACTCGGCCCATGCAGCGACCTGGAAGCTCTGCATCACATCAACGCAAGAAAGAGGGCGACCCTTTTTTCCAAACAGTTCACATTTATTGATAACGATAAAAAAATCTTTTAAAGACTATCTGTATTTTGTTACCAAGAATGAGGTATTATGTATACAAAACATTTACAGAGTTTGATATGCAGCTCATGAGTGCAGAAGGACACTGATAACGGGGGAAAAGCAACAGAAGAGTCACGGGCTGGGAGAAGCAAGCAGAGCCGTAAGATCGCACAAAGAAAGAGCAGGGTATGGGAAATGAGTTCGGCTGCAGTGATCAAGTCATATTGCCACAGCACTTTGCTTAGAGGAGGGTGAACTATTGTTTTTTCTGGAATTTTATCTCCCCAGCTGTTCGTGCTGTCACGTGCTTTGAGCTCTAAAAGATGTGTTAACAGCAGGAAAAACCCAAAGTGCCACTTTTGAGCCAGCTCAAGTGAAAAACAAAATATAGATCTTCAGACTTGAGAAGTGACTGCAACTCAAAAAGGTCTACAAAGCCCGACACCTCTGGACAGATGTGGAGTGTCGAATGAAGCAGTTTCTTTACAGTTGTCAGCAAAATCGCCATCTGAGAGAGAGAGAAAGAGAGAAAGGGGACCATCTTCAGCCCTCACAGCCTGGTAAATAGGCAGTGGCATTTGCAAGAGCCTGAAGTGCCATGAAGTCAGCCTCTCCGTGCCTCCTGCTGCACCAGCTCTCCTGCGCCTGGGGACACTGGGAACACTGGTTCCTGGGACGGGAGCTGCGCGGCACCGACGCGGGGCCCGGCTCACGCAGTGGCACACTTTGGCAGCCTGAGTGAGTCTAACCTCCATGTTCAATTTCTAAGTCCCAAAAAAGACAAAACTGACCAGTTTGGTGGAGTTTACGCAGACTGGCCTCTCGGCACCTCTCAATCTGTTACTAAAGCTTCTTTGTCAGCTGTCTGCCACGTTCCACAGCCAGAACTGGTCTGCAGGAGGAGGTGCTCCTAGCTAGAGGAACCTGCCTCTCGGAAGCTTTGCAGTCACACACAAGATTTACACAGAGTTCAGAAGCAGCCTTCCTCAGGCAGGGCATCCAGTATCTGAAATGAGTTCTGCTTTGGAAGCACAAGACCTCCCCAAGCTCCCGTGCCACTTACCCACACCAGTGCTGCTCCCCACGGCTTCACAGAGCCCATCCAGCTTTCTAGCGGGGACTGCAGCCAGCACGGGAGCTCCGGTTGGCCTGGATGGGTAGTTTAGCTCTAAGAGGGTGAGGAAAGACCAGGCAGGGTCTGGAGCTCCACTGCCAGGCATGGTCTGTAGCTGTCTGCTGACAGCCCTTTGGTCTTTTGTGCCTTTCGCTGTGCATGGGAGAGAGGGTCGAAGTGGAAGGATACCTGAACAAACTCTGACAAAAAGGGTTCCAGTGGCATTGCCTGGGCCTGGGTAGAACAGGGGCAGAACCCAAACTGGCAATTCACCGCTGGCAGTCGCAGTAGCGGCAACGGTCAGGCAGGCACCGCTCCGAGCGTCCTCTGCGGTGTCACTCAGTGTAAGCTCCCTGTGCTCCCTGCCTGCATCAAAGCTTCCACTGCTCCCAACTGAAGTGCCCTATTTCTGACACGCACAGGGAAGGACAGGAGGCAAGAGCGACTGAAAAGCGCACAGGAAGGATGCAAGCCATAACTCCTTTAGACTGATGTAAGAAGCAAGCTTAAGCCCGGCATAAATTCCTGATGAGAACAGAGTCTCGGTAAAGTCAATTCACTTGGAGTGCACCAGGGAAGCGGAGTGAAGCTCCGGCACAGAGCTGGGAACAATGCTCAGACCCGTTCTGGATCAGCCCGGTGTGACGCAGCGAGGGAGAGCCCGCTCTCCGCCTCTCTCTCCGCAGGGCTTCAAGCGCAAATCCAAGGGAAGAATGAATCACCTTAACCCATCAAGACCCAGAGCTCAAATTCCCCAAAAATGTGCTCGTACAAAAGGTATTAGTGTTTACAGCCTGGCCACAGCTCTGTGGGCGTGCTTTGAAAAAAACGGACTCACAAAGTCAAGTATCCAGCAACTGCTTCTTTGTCTCGGACATCACTTAAGTGGCAACGGGAGAACAGTTTGCAGCACTGGAAGATCACAGGGGATTTCTTAAGATGGCAAGGAATGTCCTGACAGGAGATTTGCAGTTGATCTCTAATGCACTAAGGAGCATTTTTGGTAGGGTTTTTCTCTTTTTTGCTTTTTAACATTCACACAAGTTAAAAAAAAATCTTCTTAACTGATGCACTGGTTATTCTTCCTTTCAGTGAGAGCCCTTGTGTTCAGAGTTAGGATTTGTGCAAGCACACTTGCAAAAATATTTATGGCTGAGTTAGGAAAATGAATTAAAGTTAAGAGACACGCTGTTGGATCTAACAAGGACCAAAACAACTAAGTTTAAAATTCAAACAGCTACTTTATATCTGTAAAAGGCTTTAGTGGGGTGGGGGTTTTTTGCGCAATTGCCGGCTGAGTATGCTGTATCGCAGTCAGCTGCCACAGGCGAGGGTCCAGCCATCTCATCCGTTGTGGCACTACCTGGAAATCATGGAGCTGGAGTGGGACTGGCTAGAAGAGGTGGTGGCAGCACTGAGCTGGGAGAATCCACTGTGGCTTGATTCAAGGCTGGTCATAGATCCCCTGCAATAAAAAGCAAAATAGTTGTAAGCTTCAGAGCACACAAAGATTTTGATTTCTGTTACGTATCTACACTGTATTTGTTTGCACACTGCATAAAAAGCAAGTAACGATTTTGGAGCAGATACTCAAAAGCTTTTGTGCCTCACCACGTAAGATAACAGTGACGCCAAACACCTTGCAAAAACCAGATGCTGTTCAAAGAGACAGAACTAGTTTCAGTCAGGCTGATCAACAGGCAGGCAACCAACTGACTCGGTTCCATTCCGAGTTGCACCCGTTTCTACACGACACCCTGCCAAGCCCAACAACTCACACAATGCTTTCAAAGCAGAGCAGAGTGAGTAATGATGATTACAACGAGATAACTAATTCACCCTTTTTATACATTAATTACCCCCAGTGCCAATACTGGTTGATTTTTTTTGTTTGTGTTTTTTTTTTTTTTGAGGCCTAAGAAAACACAAGTCCTCACAATTTACTTGCATTTAAATGAACTTGACACTTGCTTGATCGTCTAAGTATCAGAAAGGTTTGACACTGGCTGACCTTCATGAACCTTGGCCAGACGTACCTGAAATCTTCAGATCCTATTACTTCTGTATAGTACATCACTTTACACTTGTGAGAGGAGACCTGCAGAGATGCTAGCACATCATCCACACGAGGCAGGTTGGTTGTAGCACAGGCAGGCATGCTATGAAATTTCCACTGGAGAATATAGAAGCCAGGCCACCTGGTCACATGCGATCCCTGGAAGCAGCCACAGCAAAAATTGAAAAATAACTTTGTTAACACAAAGATCTGTAGGCTTGAAATTTCTTTTCCAAGCTTAGAAGAACTGCCTACGTGCCCAGAATTTTTCCCCTAATGCCAGCACTTCAGCTCCCCAGCCAACAGCAATGCTGGTCACCTCTCCCCACACAGCACGCTTGCAAAAGTTACGACAGGACGCCAGCAGTTCCTTTTGCTTTTTGGTAGTGTCAAGGGGTTAGGATTTAAATCTACGGAAAGGACAAAGTTCTTGTTTAAAACAACATATGTTTTTTCCATTTATTTTCATTAACAGCTGTCCTTTGAGACTGAAAAGTGCAACCAAGGCTCCTGCCTCACAGAAAGTGCAGTTCAAGAGGTTGCTGCCCATATTTCCAGCTGAACACTTCCAATCAGGTGACTCCAGCAGCTCCTTTTTCAAAGGCTAGCCAACTCTTATTTCAAGTCAAAAGGAGTAGCAGTGGCAGAGTGTGACTGTAAGCATGCTGCATGTAACATCAAACTTGGTAATTAAGGGATAGGTTGCAAATGCCATAAAAAAAAACTTCAGGAACTCTGGCCATAGGGACCTCTTTACGGTGCCTGTTGTGGGACAAACACACAGAAGCTCGGTCTTATTTCCAGACTTCTCTCATTACTGAGGTAAGACACTACGATACTCTTCAAACACAGACTATTTGCTTCAGAAAATAATGGTCAAAATTACAGCACAAAGCACTTCTTGCTACTTTCTGGATGCGCACTACATTCTAGGTGGCTTCCCAGTATTCCTTGCTGATCAATCTCAGTCACCACGGGACTGACGCCCCCTCCCCTCACAGCAGATCCCGTGCAAATCCTATCCCCGTGCCCTGTAGCACGCGGCTACGAACATAAGCTGAAATGTTGGCCAAAAGCAAGCAGGCAGTGCGGAGCCGAATCACCACTCGGTCATCACTAATGATTGTGAATTCGAACACACAGTTGTGGAGCTAGCTTCCATCTGCTCCAGCACGAGGACTCGGCAGCCTCACCTGCACACTCTCCCCTTCTTTGCAGATAAGAGGAGACTCCACCATGCTGTAATCACGCCCCAACTGCCAGACTTTGTCTATCAACTGGACGTTGTTCCCACCAGGAGATGTAATACTGTGAGCTCCCAGAGAGTCCTTCTTCGGAGGCTGTGGGGCTCTTTTGGAATGAAAGATGTTAAAAACAATGTCGCCCTTGCACACATCGAAATCCCACGTGATCACAGACGAGGCATCCACAATCTGAATGAGAATCTGAGACAGAAAAGTCATATTAGACAACAGCTGTTTGCTCAGTAAAGACAAACTCTTACCAGAAGACAAAACCTAGAGGTTTTGTTACTGGGCTTAATTTAGACTTCTGAAAAGGCAGCACAGACACAAATTCCCTCCTGATGAAGCGTCCTTATTTTAACACGTGACTTTCAGAAGCTCTCAAGTAGCTTCTAGAATATTATTTGTCTTTGCTTAGAAGGACACCGCTTTGAACAGAATAGAAAGCTGTGATACTCTCTAAATGACAGGATGATGATGCCAGCAACAGTCACAAACGTCAGCTAGTAAAGCGTCATTATGCACCAGAACTACAGAAGAACACGGTGGAAGCATGGCAACTAAATAATCAAGCTCCAAACCATTTTCAGCCCAAGAGACAGAGTCCAGACCAGGGGGCTGAGATGAAAGTAAAGAAGGGTGGGCTGCACCCGTACCTCATGCGGCGCTCCTTTGAAGACACTTGCGGACTGGTAGATTGTTTCAGTCCAAAGCTTTATGTCTTCATTTTCCAACTCTTCTGCTGTCCGGTAGAGGGACTTGGGAACCAGCCCGCCCTCTGGTACTTCACACTGAAAGCACAAACAGCCCTTACAAAGTATCCCCTCCGTGCATCCACACCCTGTCATGCTCTCTGCCTGCCAGCTTCAGAAACAAAAACTTGCACTCAGCAAGTACTCTGAAGAATGAGATATGAACAGAGGTTGAAAGTAATTTTACAGCTCGTACATCATATGTACATGAATTTATTTTGCAATGATCTGGCTGAGGTGAGTTTGCAGAAACAGACACCAGAGGAACAGATCTTGTATGTACAGAACAGCCATCACCACAGAAAATGACTGTGCAAATGCCACAGTTCTCACTCGTACTGCCCTATACTGAAGAAAGATGTGAGCCACTTCAGAATCCTGAGGAAAGCGGCAATAGTGACTCAGTCTAAAAAATACAGCCTGCAGACACCTGAAAGAACTGGGGTAGCTGAATTTAATGATGAAGGATGGCGTGGAGGCACACTAAGTTTCCAAACAGGTAAAGGATATTGCAGTCAGGAAGAGAACATTTTTAAGGTTACAGCTGTCTTGACAGCTCAGTATTCGAACTGATTACACAACTTCCCTAAGGAATCTTCTTTAAAGAGTCCCTAGTAATGAACTGGGACAACTATCTGATCAGGAATAGGTTCCATAGAAGTGTCTGGGGCAGCAGAAGTGTCTGATAACTGAATTGCAACAGAGAATTGAAGGGATCTTTGAGAAGTCATTTTTGTTCAAATATACAGAAGTAAAGAAGAGACCCTACCATTGTCTGTGACCGGCAGGAAGTATTGCAGCAATTTGCTTTCCGGTAACATTTACTTTTGCTTACTTAAGCAGTGGACTTTGCCAGCTTCTTGAGTTCCAAATTAGATAGCACAAACTCTCTCCATTGAAAGCTACTGCTGCAGCAAAAAGCAGCCCACTGAAGATAAACACATGCTCTATTCCGACACGTCTAACAGTACTTTATTACAATTTGAGACTGTATTGGAACAGACCTAGTTGAATTTTCAAGAATGATACAGAAATTAATCTAGAAAGTGTACAGGGGTTTAAAAAGCAAGCCTGAAATTATATTTTAACACAGCTGAGTTTAGAAAAAAAATCATCTGTTACTGTGACAGAGCCTCCAGAAAATGCTCGAGTTGCACTCCTCCACCTCAGTCACACCAGTGAGCCTGTGTTGTCACACATAAAAACATCACAGAGAAAACAACCCTTAGAGTATCACTGCGATGTTAAAATGACAGATTCAACTGACACCCATAGTCTAGGCAGGAAACAGCTATTAAGGCACGTGACAAGGGACTGAGAAGTTACTGTATCTGGCAGTACACCATTTTTTTCAGTTTGTTGTAGGTCAGTGTGCATATTGCACTAGGAGACCTGGCTGTTTGTTAAACCCTGCTAGCAGATGAGCCACAGGTTTCCTTGGGCTCCTATGGTATTGGTTAGTTCTTCAAGGTGACGCAGACTCTTGATTAGCTGCTGGTGACAGCTCTTGCTGAGTGCTGTGCCACCACATCTATTTGAACTTGACAAGTAACAGAGATGACTTTTAACTATGCTTGGTTATTTTGGTAAGTTATTCGATGTTTATTGTAGAGAAGTATTATACTTCTCTGTTTAAAGTGGATCCAGAAGAAAACACTAAGCTTAGAATCCTACCTCACAGCCCCCGCCTTCGACCTACATTAGGAATCATTCTGTGCCCCTTGGCTTCTTTGTTTAGAGAAGCAGAGGGGAAAAATTAAAAAAAAACCACAAATAAGTTGCTATATGCACTAGTTTATATTCATACCATGCACTCTCCACCAAGAAAATCAGGGATAATTTCTTTATCAATGTAATCCAGCAGCCCCCCAGGACCCTGGTAGTCATTTCCAGCATAAATAAGGAATTTCTTTCTAGTGTTGTCATCAATGAATGGACTAACCTGCAAACAAAGAAAAACAGTATAGATCAGGCTCCCACATTTTTCTCCACTCAGTTTTGAAGGAATTGGTTCGATCGCGTTAAGCGTTACCATCCTTCTTACACAAAGTTCACACGGTAAAGAAGCTAAATTAACAGACTATGTAAGCAAGTTTTTAGGTAGCGTTTTTTAATCCATTCCAGGAATCCTATAAAAGAGATGCTTCCAAATGGTAACATTTCCTGCTTATGAAGCCTGATCTCTAAACTGCTTTTAAAACTACCAGTGTGTAGCCATGTACTAAGAGAGCTGAGGAATACCCTGAGTTACAAACATACCAGTGTCCAAAGAACTGGGAATACTCGAGGTGCTCTTAGGATAAGAAGACGACCCAAAGTCTCAGGGTAATTAGCTTCGACCACCTCAATGATTCTTAGCAATGCTTTGACACCAGGTCTCCACAAATGTCGCATGTTCAAGCCTTCTAGATCTACCAGACAGGTCCAAGAGCTGAATTTGAGAAAGACAAAGATAAAAAGAAACATCTCGATAGCATCAAAATTCTCCTTTCTTATGCAGTTGTCCAATATACTGAAATGTATGAACCCCACTGCATGTTTTCGTTTCTATTTTACCTCCTTGCCTTGCGCTACCTGTACACACTGGAGTTTATGGTCCTTAGAACAGGAATGTCCTAGGAGTGGGGCAAGCAGTCACACAGTGTGTGCAATGATCCCCTTGCACACCACCTGCATTCCCCCACAGACATTTCAGGCTGCGGGTGAAGGTTAATCTGAAGCCAAAAAATCCCGTTAACAGCCAGTCCAAAAAACAGCCATTGCTTTTACTGGGAAATCAATTAAGTGCCCATGCTGCTGCTATGCAGCAATTTAACATTCATGGTGCAAATTCCCTGCTAACACAGTACAGTAACAGTGCAGTTACATGTCAAAGCTAATTCCGTTGTCAGATCTCTGTGAGGAGAGCTTTTTCTATAGGAAAAGAGGTGTTCTTAATACAAAATACTAAACTTCATCATAAGCTTTAGTTACTTTCCAAGTTCGGGTCTCACCCTGGGCATGAATTCCAGACTTACAGCTGTGCTGCCCAGCTCGCACCCACGAGATTATGTACAAGGCTTCCACGAAACAGCAAGCACTTCTTTGTTTCACTTTGAATGTTTAATGTGTAGTCCTTTAAGATTACTTCTACAAAGACCCAGTAGGCAGCACAATTTCACAGTTACACACACGAAACCCGTCTGTTGGATTTGACCTCCCCCCGAGAGCTAGGACAGCAAGTTCTTTCGGAGGGAGAAGATAAGCAGACATACCACGCATCCCTGAGCGCTTACAGATTAAGCGAAGGAGCCAGAAATTGAAAAGAGTCCAAGAAACATCGTTTCTTTTCAGGGCCAGTCCTGCATTCTTTCCACACCCTTCAATTCACTTTGCAGTTAACATTTTCACTAAGTGACCCCTATAAAACCCAAAGATGGGACAGAAAGCCATTTTTGGCTAAACTTTACATACAGCACCTGAAAAACTAAACCCCAGGTTTCACAGGAGCCTCATGACCTTACTTTGATCAAGAACTGAGTAACCGCATATAATAAATGGAGAATGCAAACAAGAACTGAGTGTAAGGAGCCTTGGTATGGACTATGGATGAACAAGTGGCATGGAAACACTACCTTAAACCACTTGAAAGGTTATCCACGATATTATTGTGGCCTGATTTTTTTGGCAGCCTGCACCAACATCTGTCTATAAACTATAAAATCCCCCAGAAACAGAGACGGGAGTTGGGCTGCGCTGCTCTGCAGACATCCAGCAGTAAGCAGAAGCAGAGCAGCTCCATGTAGAGCTGTCACGCGCACGGCACCCAGGCAGCTGGAGCAGGCCATGGGCTTCCCTCCAGCCCGACCACGCAGGTTCACTCCAGCAGCAATTGCAGCAGCTCTCGGTTAACTGTGATCGTGCTGGTATCTGCATGTGAGAGAGTCTACTCTGTGCTCGTTCCATTTAACAAATTGAGCTCGGCAGCATCACATCACCTGATGTTCCCCATGAAACCAGGTAATTCCAGAAGAGCAGATCCACTTGTTGTATTTTACCTTATTGGCCTGCCAAATACTTTCGTATTCTCCTCACATCGCCTCAGTCCTTCTTCATTTATTGAAAGAACCTGTACAAGAAAACACGTTGCTTAGAGAAGACAGCCTAAAACTCAGTGGGTGGGATAAAGAAAAAAAATGTTCATATCTGAAGACTAATTAAAACTACAAGCTCAAACCAGCATAAACTTTTTCCCCCAAAGAATGAATAGAAAGCACTACATCTATCCTATTAGTTGATTTTGTTGTAAAATAAATATGCTTTTCATAAAAGCAGTAAAATGTAAACCCCTGGGTAACAGACCTGGAGTGATACAGACAAGAAGTCTCCCTGTGCTCGCAGAACTGCACAAACTGCAGCAGAATCTGTGAAAACGCTAACCAATAACTAGAAGAGCTGCCAAGAACTACGCCTTTCCGCCATCAGTTTGCAGTTGGAAAGAATGCACAAGATCAGCTACCAGGAGCTTTCAGATATATTCAAACCAAAAACAGACAGCCAGAGACTACATCACATTCCAGAGTGATGAACGTTCTGGCAAGGAAGGAAATTTCTAAATGAAAATATCACATTGTTAGCAACTTGCTGGCTCCAAAAACACTTACGTATCGAAGCAAGGCCTCTTCCCCAAGAGCTCGCACTAAGCCTTTTGTATCCATCTGTCCCAGCCTCAGCACATACAGCGGGCGACCATCTGAATAACAAGAACAAATATATCAACATAACCCTTACTTTTACAGCAACAGACAATTTGAGTGAGCTAGTTTTATGCTAAAAATCCATGGAAACAAGCCAGTCCAAACTTTGCTGTACAGCTGGAAAAGGGAGAATGTGGAGCAGATGGCAATACAAGCTTTACCCTGTCCAGCTACACCAAAAGATTGCCTGTAAATGAACTGCAAAAGTTTAATGAAGACATCTTGATGCAAAAATACCTCCCCTATCTCCAAGAAAAGTCCAAAGGACTTCAAGTACATCAGCACACACAAGATCTTGGTATGCACAATTAAAGACCCAGGACTACAGTTAGCCTCCAGGACAGATAAAGTCCAGGAAAAGCTTTAGGCCATCAGTGTAAGTAACTGCAGAAATGTAAGTAACTGCAGAAGGCTGTAAGCCTTCTGTCACACGTGACGGAACACTGCTGTGGATAGCAACCTTCTTGGAAAACCAGCTACCCTGAGTTCTGGGCATTAATGCAACACAATTAACCCAGAGACTCGCTTTCTGCAGTACTTGCTGAAGTCACCCCTTCCAGCTCTGTCATTACACATCATGTGGAACTGGCACACAGCCTCGCGTATGCAGGTTAAGCCTGGTGAGAACAGACTCTGTCCCAGAGATCAGCTTCAGATGGACCCTCTGCATTCAAAGCCTTCCTTTTTCACGGTCATCTTGCTGCATACTGGGGCATCCTGATACTGTCCAGGATACAAAGGCGTTAAGCTGCAGAACCTCACTGGCTGAATTTGAGAATCAAAGCTTGCATTTCTGGCTCTTCAAAATAGGAGCCAGTTGTCCAAAACAGCTTCCATCCTCCTCCCACAGCCGTGATGCATTTTTTAAGCTTTGCTCTGTCTATTATAATATACAAGCTAAATAATCACCAACTTACAAAACTGAACATGCTAGGACACAAAAGAGCTTTCTACATAAAAATCTTCCTGAAGTCCTGTTGTCTGTTTAGCTTCACTTCCCTCCAACAACTGCAAGGAGAGGTATCAAAACTATCATTAAGTCCTTTGGGACATAAGGAAAGAAACTGTCAAGACATTATTAAAAAAAAAAAACTAACCCACAAACAAAACCCCACACCACAACTACAGAGTCCAGGCGAGTTATTTATTTAGCAAAGACACTAGCCCCATGAAAGTTTGCAGTCTTTTGTTTTTTATCAGGTGGTCTAAAAGAAAATGTTGTTTTAACATCAGCACACACTTCTCTTGGAATGTACTGTTTCGCTTTTGAAACGTTACACAAGACGTGCTATTAAGCTCCAAAGCAAGTCTCCCTCCCTCACAGATGCACACACATCCAAAACAGTTTACTAACCCCAGTCCACCCAAACGACACACGAAGAAAAGTCTCGACTGGCAGTGCTGTATTATCCCTGTATATTTTATATTCTGTTACAGCTTTGGGATTTAAAAAAAACATTTGACTGAAGCATTCCTGTCAAAATAAAAGCCAGTCAGCTGTATATGAAACTGTGCTAATTGCAAGCCGTAACAAGTACTTTTATTCTTTTGCACTAATAGCTCATTCTTGACAACGCGCTTCATAATCGCTGCCGCCTTTGCTTTAGCACTAAAAGCTGTACAGAATTCAGCTAGCTTAAGTTTGGCACATTTAGCACATGTAGGAGGAAAGAAGCAATACTAGAAAAGAGGGTTTAAAAAAAGAACCTACCACTGTAAAGTTTTAAATTATAGAGACTTGCTCAGTTTTGAAATTCTGCTTCCATTATTGACAGACCCATGTTTTACTTGTGGGCGTGCTGCAAAAGAGACCGAAGGAACAAGAGGGGAAGGGAGGGGAGCATGAAGTTCACCACAAGACTGTAGAACTTCTCAGAAAAACATTAAACAACCCTTTGATGCATTCTATACCTTTCTACTCACTGGCAGGAGCCAGTTCTGTGCTATTGTCAGAGGAAGTCTTCGCAAAGCAAGGACGAGGAACTGACAGAAAGGGAGAATTTATTCACAGGTTTTCTTCCCCTACCATCTTTACAAGCATGTTCTCATTTTCCATGTTCTCAGTTTTAGGTCTGTCAAACCCAAAGCAGCAGGGGAGAGCCATTCAAGCTCTTCAGCTTCACAGAGCTCAAACTTCTGCTGTGTCCTCCCTGCCTCCTGGCCGCTACTGACGACAGCTTCCTGTCCTGGTTCAGAGAGCTCACAGGAAGAGACCATTTCCTTATCTAAGAGCCCAGCTTGCCTCAAGCAACAAATTCCAACGTCTCCTTTCTGTGTATGTAATAGCAACAAGATCAGTGCACCAATAAAGCAAGCGGAGGGATAGGGGAGCGTGTCAGGTGTAGTTGTCCATGTTTTTAAGATCTGGCTGTGGCTCACCAAAGGGAATTCGGCCAAAGCTGCTTCCCTTCTGAAACAAACCTGCTCTATTTGATGTTTTTGCAACATCCCACTCCTCATCATTAAGCTGACTGCAATGCCAAATAACTATTCGTTTATGCCATCAGCAGACTTACCCAACATCAGAAATAAGATGATTAGAAAGATACACTTATTTACAAACATCTTATAATCACTGGAAGGGAATACTCAGCATTTGCATAACACCCTTCTAAGCCTCTCAGAGCACTACCCAAGTGCAGCTAGTAACTTTTTTAAGCTACTGGCAAAGCAGAGCTCTTTAGAAGGTTAAGTATCTCAGTATTAGTCAGAAAGATTAGGACCTAGGAGTCTGCCTCCACACACTAAGGAGCTGGCAACATCAATTAAAATGCATTTACTACATAACAACTGAGAAGTTCTAACCATCTTCCCAGCCACTTCTAGTTAACAGAGGGACAACTATCACCTTTAATTCAGAACATAAAAAGGCTGTTCAGTATCCACCCTATAGAGCATACCTTTGTCATGGTGATGCCAGCCACCTGCATAGTAATCTTGGAGTACCTGAGGAGGGTTCCAGGTGTCTAGAATATAGTCTACCTGGTGCTGCTTACGCCACGTCAGCGACTGGCAAAGGATCTCTCTTGCTTTATCAATGTTGAAGTCCCGGGCACGCAGGAATCTTAAAATGTGCTCATCCTTTGGGATCTACAAAAAAAACAGACCTAATTTGTATTCAAGGTTTGAAACAAGAATAAAAAAAAAAAAGCAAACAACAGAAGCCAAAAAACATGCAGCCCTGCACCAATGCAAGAGGATGGTAGGTAACACTGGAAGTCACTCAAGCCTGCCTTTGCAACAAAACCATGAGCCCTGTCAGGTCCTGCAGCTACCTTCACATGGACACCAACGTAATCATCTACACCTGTATGACCACACTAAGCCAGTCCAATTCAAACGAGTCTAGGGATGAAACACAGACTGCATTTCATTGCTAAGTAAAAGGAAGCGAAGACATACATGCAAATCACGAGCCGCTGGAAAACCCCCAGCCCTGTTATCAGTGATTTAACTGGCCTTTCAGTACTGCACTTAGGGACATAGATTGGAGAATATCATGTTTGGCCAAAACAAACAAATGTAAAAATAAGATTATTGTAGAACTAGGCAGACTTACAAAACCGATGTCATTCCCCTGTGCTGGTTTACTGACATTCTGAGAGGCAGTTACACTAACCATTTCAGCACCTCAGCTGGCAAAGTCACCTGGGCAGCCCCAATGAGCTTCTACTGCCACTCCATAGACTTATTCTACAGAATCACAGAATGGTTGAGGTTGGCAGGGACCTCTGTGGGTCCCCCAGTCCAAACCCCTGCCCAAGCAGGGTCACCCAGAGCAGGCTGCACAGCACCGCGGCCAGGGGGGGCTGGAATATCTCCAGAGAAGGAGACTCCACAGCCTCCCTGGGCAGCCTGGGCCAGGGCTCCGGCACCCTCAGAGGGAAGAAGTTCTTCCTCGGGTTCAGCTGGAGCTTCCTCTGCTTCAGTTTGTGCCCGTTGCCCCTTGTCCTGTCGCTGGGCACCACTGGAAAGAGTCTGGCCCCATCCTCCTGACCCCCGCCCTTCAGATATTTGTAAGTATATATTAGGTCCCCTAATAACGGAATAATGGGGTACTCTGTTTCGATCACGGAAGGCCACTTCACAGGAACAGATAGCCACAGAAGGTGTGGCATGGTGTTTCACTTTGCACATCACACATTCTGAGACAGAGCCACAAGAGACCAACAGTAACTTACTTTGCCCTTGTGCGTCTCCTGGAGCCACTGTCTCAGTCGAATGAGGCAGCTTTCCTGCATTGGTGTCAAGTCACCCAGATACCGCTTGATGTAGTCTGCGTCCAGCTTGTCTAAAAGGAGACGTACAAGGGATTAGAGTGGTCCTGAACCGACCCAGTCAAAGTAACACAGGATCTTATGTGCTGGTATCCAAGGCAGAGAAGCAGCTGCTCTGTGTTCTGGGCAGTCAAAACCGAATAAAGTTTCTTTGAATCAATGAAAAGGTGAGCAAGGCAACATACACAGTCATCTTAATGGTAAACAAAGATGATTAATTCTCCTTTTGCAACTAAGAAAGGAGTAAAACGAGACATTCACAAAAGCATTTTGCCAGTATATTCACATTTGTCAATCCACAGCACCACAGGGCTTGCTGCTTCTGGAAATACTTAGAAGCTTTCATCTCAGTCTCCCAGTGCAAGAATTTTCCCAGCTTCCTTAATAACAGGGGAAGGAAGACACAACAGAAGACTGTGTCCAGGGAAGCTTCAGCCCCTTCCTCTCCATTATTCCGATCATTATACCCATCACAATTTCAGGGCAAGAAGCAGGCCATCCATTTGCAATCTAATGAACAGCAAAGTGAAGAGTTTTTCCACTCATATCGGATCTTCATTTACTGAAAAAGATCAGTTCATAACAGCTATCCAAGCTATCCTACGTTACTGCTTTGCAATCCTGCACCATAACATTACATGTTACCAAACAAAGAGCCAGTGTGAAGATTTCCAGCTGCCCATGAGAAGTGGCACGGTGCTGAGTGCCTCCACAGCACAAAGACTCCCACTCAGGCAAGTCAGACCCCCATACCATCGGGCGTTCCTGCTGTGGGCTCCGAGGGGCTGCCTGCGGTGTTGAGGATCTCCTTATTGTTCGAGCCCTCCTTTGTGGCAGAGTCTGGTATATTAACAGCGGGTGAAGCTGGCCGTCTCGCGGGGCGTGCGCTGCTCTCCAATTTACACGCAACAGGAGGAGTCCAGCGAGGAACAAAAGTTATTCCTTCTTCCTCCAGCTGCTTCAGGTAGTATTCTATTATTTCTTTTCCCTTCAGAAAGGAAAATTTACTTCAGCTACTAAACACACCCATTTATATGCAGAAAGGGCTGGATACCCATCAAGGGGCCAGACCTCTCTGAAAATACAGACCCACACACACATGCTGCCCCAGGCTCAGGAGTAAGCAGCCCAGCTTTTTGAGCAGAGCAGCCTGTTACTTAGCAGCAGCTACATCGTCTTTTGGTAACTTAGAGCCAGGCACCGCCTTCACGACCGCCAGCTCACCTTTTTAATATTGCTGGTGTACTGCTTCATAGCAATCTTTTCCACTGTGCTTTCAAAACCAAAAAAAGATTTTATATCCAGACTTGCTGACTGTTCAAAACAGGTCCAGTCTTCATTGTCAGGATGAACCTATTAGTTGAAAGGAAGTTATGCAGTTTAGCTACGCATTTAGTATTTTTTTTTTTCCTCACAATATTTGCAGTGGCTGTTTCTTGTTTTACAGGTTTACATAGCCAAAAACATTCCAGTGGAATCTGCAGTCCTTTGCTTCATTTGAAAAACACAGCTGGGAAGAGGTAACACCACAGAACAGAAAGGTGAGAAGCCCTCCTATCGTCCTGTGGCCAGCACACTACATTTTTTTCTTAAAAAGAAAGGGGAGGGTGGAGAAATACTCGTGCACCAGTCAAAAGCCAAAGGATAGCACACTCATACAATTAACACTGTCTCCTTCTAGACATGGGCTGTGACTGCAGTGTGTCTGTGCAACAGGGCAAAATACTCCCCAGCAAACGTTCTGCTGCTGTGGGCTAGACTGACAGGCCAAGGGCAGCTAGCTCGAGGACGGCAGCAAGCACAGGGTAAGCGTTTCCCAGCACTGCAGTCTAGACATGTTTGCAACAGACACCTGCAATAGATTTCTCCCTCATTGACCTACGAGGTACCTTAGTGTTCTGTAGACTGAAAACGATTTCACTTTGTTCTCCTATGATAATGCTACAGAAAGAAGTGTAAACTTCTTGCTCAGTTGACAGCTGCATAAGCCATCTTAGAGCACTCACAACTTTCTTCTTAGCTTGTATCTGTTTGCTGAGAGATGATCCTGAGACAGAGATGTTACCACTCTGAAGGAAAGCTGTTCTCTAAACTCTCTTCAGCTAAAAAAGATTTGTCTAAGGAACTTCCAGGCTGGGCTCTGAATTCGTGGCTATACAAACACCACAGAAGGCTGGATTTCTGAGCATTCAGCTGTCCTGATGCCTTAAAGTTCCCCTACCCCTCTCAACATGCTAAAATTGACTGGGAACACCACCAAGATTTCATAGAGACAACTATAGGAAAAAAAACACATTTCCTTTCATTTGCTTCTCCTGCATTAAGGAATGGGGGGTACAAGAATAGCTTTTACAGCCTAATAAGCACAAATCATAACAATAACATTTAAGAATCTTCCTGTCCTTTCCTAAATTCAATTATAAAATAATGTTAATAAGAATGAAATTAAAAACAACTTCTTGAATTAAAATTCTAATTTTTCATTTACCTACTAATTTCATGATCAAGTATAGCAAGGGAAAGGAGCAGTGTTGTGTTTTGTACATATTTATCACACGCACTTCTCTGTATAGCATTTCCCCTGCTTAAACAGAGCTTTCACAGAAAAACTGGTGGCAGAAAAGTGTTTTTAAATGTGCCTTGGAAATAACTGCAGAAATAATAATTAACAAAAAATAATCAGATAATAGCATCAAGGGGGTTTGACACCCAGTCACCTTTTAACCATGGTTCTGTACACAGCAGCAAATGTTATGACCTGCACATAACACAAACACTACAATACAAAGAAATCAGTTACATTTGCTGGCTTTGCTTTGACCTTTAAGATCGATTTGAAGTTTTATGGCTATATAGGTGTGCTGTATGAGCCTCTGAGTATTGGCTAAGCCATTCAGACAAAAACATGCCCAGAGCACAGCAGTAAGCATGCCACCCAGCTCCTTTGTATCCGAAAACGTCTGCGCTGAAGACCAAGAACAGCCACAAGGGAAAGGATCAGGTTAAAATAGAGCTGACTCCAACACTTGTCTGAGCTGAGCAGAAGGCCAATCAGCTACGCTGAACTTTCCTTTAACAGTTCTGTCAGGGTATCATCAGCCTCACCAAGCCCCACGCTGCTATTACAGACCACAGATTTGCCTAAGCAGAGCTGTCAAACACAGCAAATTATGTTGTGTTCTGCTCTCTGAGAAGATGCTCAAAGCAAGAGGGTGTCAAACTTGCTTCAGTTCCTCAAGCAAGTGTGTTACTTTTAACACTAACAACAATTATCACTCATGGTGGTGTGTTGGTTGTTTTTTCATGCAAGGCAAACGCCAAGAACAACCCAACTTCTGTGTACAAGTCCTGAAATCTAAACACCGACTTTGCTCCATCTGTAGCACCACCAAGAGCCTGTTACTCACTGTGTAACAGCAGTGCTCGTTAATAATGACTCTGTTAGAGAAGGTTTCATTGTAGGCTTCTATATGCAAAGTCCTTTCTCGTCTGTTCAAAGAATTCTTCTGGACAAAGTAGACATAATCCACTCCTGCAATCTGAAGAAGATGACATAGATTCCGTCAAGGTACAATACTCATGTGAAAGGATATCCAAAGGCATAAAACAGGCACTTCAAACCTCATCACCTTTTTCAACAGCCGTGGTGCATCTATATCCAGCTTACAGCGCCGTTCAATCACATGGATAGCTTCATCCTCACTCTTATATTCGTTTACGGTGTCACTGGCTACAAACATAGGGATCAGAGGACATGTAGGAAACCTTCTTTCATATGCCTAAAAAGATGGGAAGAGAAACAAAAACTACCATCACAGTTAATTCCTGAGGGCGTGTGTAGGGTTCCTGCGCTGAGGCACAATGTCCTTCATACCTTCTGTAGCAGCGACGAGTCTTCCTCGAGCCCTCATCGTAGCTGCAAAAAGTCACAGTGCATTCCAAACCTTCCATTCACTAATACGTTCCTCATTTAGCCTTTCCAGGGAAAACAATTTTTAGAACACCACACTAACTACCCCATTTCTCCCCTCTCTCCAGAAAGGAAATTGCGCATTGTGTACAGTGACAAGCCTCTTGTCAGCAATAACAGGAAAGTAAGACCCTCTAGTTCTAAAATACCACAAGACAAAACAATTACGTGTTGGATTAAAAAAACCCACATGCTAATTATCGGTGTTTCACCAAGCCGTCTAGAGGGTTTTCCTTACAGTTCCCAAAGGTCTCATGAAAACATTTCAAAGCCTGTTTCTTAAGCTAACATAACTCTCCAGTTCCCCGTGTGCAGGGTATTCATAATGATTTCACTGCACAGTGTATCAGCTGACAATTTTTCCAAAAACACAGTTGAGTCTTTCCAATGCAATGAGGCCATTTCATACTTTTGAAAATTGCAATAATGCAGAGCTAGCTAGCTTTGATTCTGGTTAAAGACTATAGTCATGTAAGTAAGTTCATCTCCTAAATACTTGACACACACAGGGAAGGTGGTATTAAATCAGACACACTCAGAAAGACAGTTAAGAATCTAGGATCAGTAAAACGGGTAGGAGGCAAACAGGAGTTATCCCCATTAGTAAACTTGGCGAATTTTAGTTTTAGAACCACCATGGCTGGAAAATACAACACAACTGGTGTGTTGTTTTTTTTTTTTCTCCCCCTTTTCTTTCGTAGTCACTAGTGTACCTCCACTTCTCTTTGGCTTTTTTTCCTCATGGAGTGCCAGTAAAGTAACTAATTCTTTAGCCTTCTTTCCAAATGCTCAATTTTTGTTATTTTTGCTATTCTCAGAACCCAGCTGGCTTTGCTGAAAAGGTAGGATTTGCAAGTTGTCCCAATGCAGAAGAAAACTTCAGTAACAAATTAAATCTGAGAGCAGAACATGAAACAATTCTTTAAGAGCTAAAATATCCACTGTCCTTTCAGATAAAGTTTTAACTGCTCTCAATATAGCTGGGTTGCAGCACCCAACAGCACCAACAGGGAAAGGGTGTGGAAGAAAATAAGGAGCAGCTGCAGAAAGTATTCCATGGTGGCACTGGAAGACGAAAGGTCTCTTAATTCTCCCTTTATAAGAATAAAAATACTTAGCTTGAACGCAGCGTTACCATGGTGACAGTGGTGCTATGCACTAAGAGTGTCAGCTTTTCCCCCCTCCTGCATTTTTTAAACCGTTTTTACAGTATGACTGTCCTGAGCTCATAAAGCTCCTCTGTAGCACACTAGAAGTACCACCAGTCAGTGAGTACACACGCTCCTTTTTTCAAACTTTTCATCTGTGCACAGCTGCTTTTGTTTAAATTAAGAATAGAAGTAATTTCTGGGTTCAGAGCTGTGTGCACAATAGAAGCGACAGACCATTAGTATTGTAACACAACAGCAAACAGTGAGAAACAAAACCTTTTTTTCTTCTATGAGGCTCTTGTTCTGGACAGAAGGCTGTGCATTTCAGTTGTTAAGAATATCTCCAGCCCTCTCACTGACTAGGTCTCAGCATTCTTTCTAAATTAATCCCTCTTTTAACTATATTGATTGCAGTTAAATGTTGTCCTAAGTCAGAAAAAAAGAATTCCAGAAGAAGCAGAACTGAGAAGTACTTCCAGTTTTCAGATTGCTTCATTTCATATTTTTATTTGATGACTTTATGTTACAATTCATTTATAGATAGGAGAGAAGGGGAGGTAGATATCTAACATTTCTCTCACTATTTTAAAAGTATTTTTACTTTTTGATCACAATGGATTTTCCCCATCTAAGTAGCCTCCTCTATGCCAAGCCTTTGCAAGTCTCCCTCACTGCATATACTGATGCATTTCTCATCTTAGTCCTCAAAACGCTTCCCATTTGCCCTGTGAACACTCGCAAATTACAACATTACCTGCTCAGAAGTTTTTACTGAACTGCGAGCAAGAAAATGCCCAAGAAGAATTTGTGGTTCTGAATTGGAAGACTGAACTGAACATGTTCAATTTGGAAGAGAACAAAATAATCATCTGCCAAAAGTTGGCAAGCTCAATGCTTACAGCAACCAAGTACTTGAAGGTTTCAAAGAGATTAACAGCGACACAGGATTCTTTCTTCACTGAAGAACATGGCCACAGAGTACTGAAAATTCTTCACAGTCGATTTTACTGGGCTCTTAAATTAGGCTGGTTTTATTCTTTTATGTACCATTGCCAATCTGTTCTTGTAATGCATCATTTCTTAGCATAGCCTTGTTTGAAGAAAAAGTGATTATAGTAAACTGTAGCCACATCAGAATATTCAACCTGACTTAAGCATTGCTGGCTGTCCCCCACTTGGCAAACAGTTCCCTCTCAAGCTGCCGACCAGGCAGGGAAAAGCAGCTAAGGGCTGTAGGACACAAAGACCTCGCTTCACCACGTACCAGCATGGTGCAGGAAGAAAACTGGTAATCTGTGGTGGACACATGAGCCAAGGCAGCACACGCATCGCCAAGACTGGAGCTATTAAAAGAGCATGAGAAGATTAAAGAAAGACCAAATGCTGCTTTTTCTTTAAGAACAGAATTGCATGGATTTTTCTAGGTTACTGGGGTGTTTTGAACCAGAAACATTGTCTCAAGTCCAGCTTTGTGGACACGAAATAACTGAACTGCATTATCCAATATTCCTTTAGCAGCCTGATAAAGCAGAGTATATTATAAAATGCTGTACATTGAGTATGACAGGTTTCTCTTTACAAATAAAATCATTAGATATTACACACCCTTCTCTCAGGATTTCAATTTTACTGTATAGATACAATCACAAAAGACAATTGGTTCCTCAAAAGCAAAGCAGCCGCAGTAATCCTGACAGACTCCATGCTGTTGCTTGTAGGACTAAACGCATCTCAAAGATGTTGCAAGGACGTTACTTCATTTTACCATTTTCTTCTGTCACACTTAAAAATTACCATATGTGGAGATTCTGATATGTAACACAAGTGAAAAGAGCATGTGTGCTCATCCTCAGAACCTCCACAACTGGTGCTGGGCTTGACATGAGAAGTCGCAATGCCTCGTCAGCCAAGAGAGACATCCATGCACAGATCTCTCAAAAAATTATCTTATGCCTGCAATTCTATTGTTCCCTAATAATGTACTTTTACAATTTCCCACCAGCCTCTGGAACATTTGTGTACTCCGATATGTTAGAAGCTGGCATTGTGCATCAAGAAAAACACAGTATGGTGAAGCAGCTTGAACTTCAAATTTAATGGGCTCATTATACAAACCCTTAACTTTCTTAATGCATGTGAACAGTAAGAACACTGACAAGCATAATTTCAACCAAAATAGCACTGTATTAAAGCTTCTTTTCCAACTGCATCCCTTAGCAACTCATGTTCAGAGTAGAGTCAAAATAACAGGATTTTAGTTTTATCTTTGCTAGTATTTCAGCTGTGTTTAAAGACATGAAAGCAATTCAAAAATGAGACTATTGTAAACCCACTGCAGTCATTTTCCTCACCAAAGGGAATTACACTTTTTGCCACTGCCCTTAGATTCTGGTATTCTAATATCAGCAATACCAAGATTCTTCCAAAATACCACCTTTAAAACAGCATTCAGGTATGACCCCAACCCAATTTTCAGGAGGACCAAAGACTCTGTCCTGGTTTTTCGCTTCTCAAACCATGCCTAGGGCTAATACCTTGATAACAGGCATGTGCTCCGTCCTCAGTGGAGAAAGCCAGTCATTTAAGCAACTAAGTTATTTAGCTTCTCTGGCCAGATGAATACATTCTCAGTCTCCTGCCTTAAAGGATAGGGATTGTTCAGTATTTCTATTAGACGACTCAAAACTAATTTCTGTGCTTACAAGAGAGAAAAAATCCGGCAAAACTTGCAAGCAATCTTATACTGAGCTGTTTTTTTATAGTAGCTGAATCCTCCAAATAGAACTTCTAACCTGGTGAAGCAAGCAGGAATTATAGTCACCATTCAGAAAATGAAACATATTGAGTGCTTTAATAGCTTAATTGCATGAAACAAGCTGTGAAGATGTTTTATTTTTTAGATGATTTCTTTTCAAGATTGTTAGAACAGCAACCTTCTAAGAGGAGCACAACATTCTTCAAGGACACCTCAAGAGATTCGTCCTGGCAACCGAATCTAGTCCGCTGCTTTTTGTGTGTGCCACATACACCCTTTAATTTCTGCCTTCAATACCTGACCACGGCGGGGTACTAATCTGCAAGTGCGTACCAACATTCACCACGCTTTCCGATCCACTTCGAGCACGCAGCAATTCCGAATTATTCCTAAACACGCAAGAAGCAAGAGGGGTCACTCAGGCAGGATGCTGCCCTAGCTTGACAGGCTGCCTTCCAGCAGCTCGATGGCTCCTGCGTATCACGCTGTCCCCTTCCTTCCCCCCCCCCCCCCCGCCACGGGAGCCCTCAAACTCAATGAACAAAGATTAGCTCTCACAAATCAGCAAACATCTTCTCACCCCCCATATACTGCTGTTCTTAGCTCTTTACCATTCTCTTTAGAATACATACATAGATTTAAAAATCATTATACTTCTGCAAAGAAGTATGTATCTCAGTGCCAGTGTATCTCATGGATGTTAGTTCACGTGTTAGTCATCAGCTCGGGGGCGTGTGTGGAAGAAAGCAGATGGTTAGAGCGGATATACCTCAAAAAGCTCTAGAAATATGTTTTTGGTAAGGTTGCAATCCCCAGGCACCAGGAGCGGGGAAGGCAAACTGCACTGCAGCCTGGGGAAGAAAAAACTTCTTTAATATACAGGTGGTCTCTGGAAAGGACCAT